AACTCCTACCATGGTCTGGTTCCTGTCAAGCCACTAAGAGAGGTCAGCAGAAGGAAAGGTAGCAGGGTAGTCCAAGAGATCCAAGGAGAAGCTCCTGTGATTGACGAACATCCAATGAAGTGAATGCATATGAGCTTGACAAATAGAAATGAGAGTTTCCAAGTAGTTTCCACATCCTCAAAATAGAACCTATTGAGCTGTTAGAGAATGTAACTCGAGGGCCATTGTAACTGTTTGCTCCATGTCTCGGAGACAAAGAAGAGAAGGCTGGGCCCAACTTAGCTTGTAATTGAAGAAAACCTGTAAATGAATAAGATGTTGAGTGTGGTAAGAATAGACATTAAACCCATCTATGTTGCTTGTGGTCCTATGACTAAGGACTGGAAGAGGCGATCGTCCATGTAATCATGAGTACAATGGCCCATTGAGTGAAGTTGTTAGGCAATTGTGCATACTACTTGACAAAACACATAAGGAGCCGATGTTGGTCTAATGGTAGAGCCCTGAACTGGAACATACAACCCTAAATAATACAGTGCTAGTGAAGATAGGGAATATTGAGTGAGAATAGCAGTATAGAGGGCTCAACGCTATTGGTGGAGAGTAGTCACATGATATGTACAGGTTCAGATATGTTGCAAAATTTATGGGGTATATAGACTGGTGTGCTGATTACATAAATTATTTGAGGGCAGATGAAGATTTAGGAGCAGGAATTGTCATTTGTTATTTGTACCTGTAAATTAATGTGTAAGGTGATAAAATGGCAACAAAGTGCTTTTTAAATATTAAACAAACGTTTGTCTCAAAATGAATAGGAGAAGTATTTGTTTCTATAAATGAAACATTAGAAACTTTCTAATTGACCAGATTTGTTATCTTTTTGGGTCTTCATGTTCAGAGAATGTGCTGTTGTCATTTATTTCTGTAAATGTGATTATCCTGAACAGTAACAGCCAATACAACCCAAACCTCCAGTCATTTAATTTAACATACTGAATTCAGTAATGAAACAGCCTCTAATAATACCTAAACTTCATAAACAATATGTAGATAAACATTTTAGTTTAGTCTAAATCTTAGCATGTATACATATTCATTTAACACATACTGAACATTTAAACAGGAACTATAAAGTATTCATGTTAATTAACATGTTAAAGTAGACAAATTATTAAAAGATAACATGATAATCACCACTTCAAGTTGGAAAATACTAACAGTTAATCCAGAAAGGCACTGGCTAAAAGTAGTGTTGGTTGGTGCTACACTGTACTATCATATTTGTACAGGCAGTTTTAGATGTTATCTACTAAAAACGTCTCTTGAATTTGGTATGTTACCAACAGTTTGTTTTTTAATGCTATTCTGTTCTGGGTAGAAAATGTTTTTATAATTTTTAAACTTAGTTATATCTTTAGTATATCTGTATTAATATTTGTGTTGATCATGTTTGAACATTAAAATATATTTATATGTTCATCAAATTAAGTAATTATGATATATTTATTATTACCTATTTTTGACATAATTTATATCTACTTCAGATAAAGAGACCAGTGTGAACATCTGTTCTGGAAGTCAGTTTCCTGGTTATTTTATAAAACAAGAAAATCACTTTACAGAAGACGTAAAATCTGAAACTAACAATATTAGTGGAGAAACAAAATTAAGTGGAAATAACCTAAAAGCATCCAACAAACATCAGTGTGATGATAAACTATACAGTTGTGGAAAAACATTTGATAACCTAACACAACAAAAGAAGACGTATTCTTTAGAGAAACCGTATCATTGTGTAGTTTGTGGAAAACAATTTCAGAATAATAGTCGCTTAAAAAAACATGAAAGAATACACACTGGGGAGAAACCTTACAGTTGTAGAGTTTGTGGAAAACAGTTTAGAGAAAATTATTATTTAAAAATTCATGAAAGAATACATAGTGGGGGTGAAACCTTACAGTTGTATAGTGTGTGAAAAACAGTTTAGAGAAAAGTATTATTTAAAAATTCATGAAAGAATACACACTGGGGTGAAACCTTACAGTTGTAAAGTTTGTGGAAAACAGTTTAGATGGAAGATTCAATTAAAAGTACATGAAAGAATACACAGTGGAGAGAAACCTTATAGTTGTACAGTGTGTGAAAAACAGTTTGGAAACGAGGATTATTTAAAAATACATGAAAGAAAACACACTGAGGAGAAACCTTATAGTTGTAAAGTGTGTGAAAAACAGTTTAAAAAAAACAGTAAATTAAAAATTCATGAAAGAATACACACTGGGGTGAAACCTTACAGTTGTATAGTGTGTGAAAAACAGTTTAGAGAAAAGTATTATTTAAAAATTCATGAAAGAATACACACCGGGGTGAAACCTTACAGTTGTAAAGTGTGTGAAAAACAGTTTAGAGAGAAGCATGTCTTAAAAGAACATGAAATAATACATAGTGGGAAGAAACCTTACAGTTGTACAGAGTGTGGAAACCAGTTTAGAATAAAGAGTCGATTAAAAGTACATGAAAGAATACACACTGGGGAGAAACTTTATAGTTGTACAGTGTGTGAAAAACGGTTTGGAAAAAACAGTGAATTAAAAATACATGAAAGAAAACACACCGGTGAGAAACCTTATAGTTGTACAGTGTGTGAAAAACAGTTTGGAACAAAGGGTCACTTAAAAATACACAATAAAATACACACTGGAGTGAAACCTTACAATTGTATAGTGTGTGAAAAACGGTTTAGTGAAAAGTATCATTTAAAAGAACATGAAAGAATACATAGTGGGGAGAAACCTTTTAGTTGTACAGTGTGTGGAAAACAGTTTAGAATGAAGAGGCAATTAAAAGTACATGAAAGAATACACACTGGGGAAAAACCTTACAGTTGTACAGTGTGTGGAAAACAGTTTAGACTGAAGAGTCAATTAAAAGTACATGAAAGAATACACAGTGGGGTGAAACCTTACAGTTGTACAGTTTGTGTGTGAAAAACGGTTTGGAAACAAGGATTATTTACAAATATGTGAAAGAATACACAGTTTTGGAAACCTTACAGTTGTACAGTGTGTGAAAATCGGTTGGAACAAAGGGTCACTTAAAAGTACATGAAAGAGTACACACTGGTCTGAAACCTTACAGTTGTACAGTGTGTGAAAAACAGTTTGGAAGAAAGGGTCAATAAAAATACATGAAAGAATACAAGCTGGAGAAAAACTTTACTGTCGTACAGTGTGTGAAAAACGGTTTAGAGAAAAGGATCGTTTAAAAGTAGATGAAAGAATACACAGTGGGGAGAAACATTACAACTGTACAGATTGCAGAAACAGTTTGTAACAAAGAGTCCTTTAAAAATACATGAAAGTACACACACTGAGGAAAAACTGTATTATCTGCTTGGGAAAAAAGGAGAATCCTTATAGTTGTACAATGTGTGAAAAAGACTGAATAAAGTAGTACCTTAACATATGAATGTATACATAATTAATAGAAACCCAGAAGTTGTGAGTTTTGTAGAAAGCTATTTCATAGTAACTCTTAAGTTAAAAAACATGAAGGGAATACATACTGGGGTGAAACCTTACAGTTTTTCAGTTTATTGAAAAAGTTTGCAACAAAAGATAGATTAAAAATACTTGAGAGAAAACATACTGTTGTCTACTGTGTTGTGAATAACTTGGAACAAACAGTAACTACTAGTGAATGTGGTAGTTCTTTATAAGTTGTTGAACCACAAGAGACAGGATTAGGTTGTATAGATCTATATTTGGTGTGTTTTTAATACCTGTAATTGGGAATTATTCTGTGTTAATGTTGACAACAACAACAAAAAATTAACAAATCATTAGAACCAGTATCAATATTAATATTCCAGTATATATTGAGAATGTGCTGCTGTGATTGGTTTACATGGATTTGAACAAACACTTACAGCCTTCTGGAACTTGATTGACTCCAAACCTCTAGTAAGTAGTCCAACCCTAATATGCATTGGTCTTCAATGTCAGCCAAGTATACTTTCTGTCTGTTCTTTATGCCCATGAGCACAATAGTTACCCACACTGGTCCCCACAATTTTGCATAATGTCCTGTCACATCCCAGAGCTTCTGTATGGCTTCTGGTACTCCTTTGTGATCTAGCACTTTGATACTCACAAGGGTTTGCTGAGATGCAGAATCTATGACAATGCTGCACTTTTGGTCATCCAGCTTTCCTGTCACTTAGACATTATGTGTGCTTGTCATTTTACACCTAAGTGTTGGAACTTTCACTGTGGGAGTTGGTAGGCATCCCTCTCCAAGTATTTCCAGTGGTTGTCCCTTCAAGCTCGTTGCCAGATATACTGCTTTCGGCTCCTCTGTCCATCCATTCATCTCTGCCAGTAGCTCAAATTGTGCTCTATATGCTTCCAACAGTGCCTTTCCTTCGAATTACTGTAGCTTCCTTCGTACTAGATCACCCCTATTGCTGAGATTCATATCTGGGATGTGACTTCTAACAGGACAGAAGATGTGTGCATTAGGGTTTAGCTGCTGGGTCTGGAAGGGGCTTGCCATTGTCTGTGGCTGATTAAGTCGATGGTTAATGTATCCTTCTTGTGTAAAAGACAATAAGTCACCCGTTAAAGCATTTAATTCACTTTGAAATTTGCCATTTTTTTTATTTGTACTTCTTGCTACTGTTTTTGACTCCCCTGTAGTTGCTGCTGACTTTCCTGCAACTGTTGGAGACTTTCTTCCCGTTTTCTTTCTTGTTCCAGTTGCCACTGCTGTAATCTCTGTTCTTGTTGATTTTGCTGTTCGAGCTGCCACTGTTGCAGGTTTTCATGCCTATGCTGTTGTCTCTCTCTTCTTGTTTCTTTTCTTTTCCTCCAACAACTGCTGTAATCTCTCTTCTTGTTTCTTTTCTCACTTTTCTTTTCTTTTCTTCCTGTTTCCTTTCTTGTTCCAGTTGCCACTGCTGTAATCTCTGTTCTTGTTGATTTTGCTGTTCGAGCTGCCACTGTTGCAGGTTTTCATGCCTATGCTGTTGTCTCTCTCTTCTTGATTATTTTCTTTTTCCTCCAACAACTGCTGTAATCTCTCTTCTTGGTTCTTTTCTCGTTTTTCTTGTTTTATTTCTTTTTCCTCCAACAACTGCTGTAATCTCTCTTCTTGGTTCTTTTCTCGTTTTTCTTGTTTCTTTTGCTGTTATTGTATTTCTGCTATAAAATCTGCTAAGCTCTAGTTTGATTTGCTACCTCTCGTTTCCATCTTCTTTTTTTTTCGGTCCCACTCTCTGACACCAATTTGTTACGTCTCTGTTCGTTTGTTAATTTCCCGTAGAAATTCTTTCAGTGAAATTTCAGCGATACATGTCCTTTCTTAAATAAAACTAGTTTATTCTTTTTCAATTCAACTTTGCAATACACTTAATTTCCACAGTATCTTTAACTTAATCACACGCTATAATTCACAATGATTTATATACTTTACTTATGGTCACTACCGCTCACTTGACTCGATTATCTGTGTCTATATCTTCAATCTCTCTCTATATCTGCTACTAAATTATCCCGCTTTGAATTTCGGGCTTATATATTAAAATAGAGGGCGTCTGGCAAAGACTAGATTTGCCATGAAAAGAAAGGATCCTTCTAGAAACCCAGCGCGCATGCTTCCAGCGTCGCGTGACTTCAGCTGTCGTAACAATATTACAAAGTAATGTTTATCCCTTTAATTTTTTTACACTCTATCATACGAAAATTGTTAACAAATAAAACAGAACCTACCAAAAAGACACAAATTGTCTTAAAATATTCACTAGTTTTATCATTCCCTTCATTGACAAACAAACTTTTGAACTCAAAAATCAATTTAAAAAATACTCAAAACACATTATCCACAAATTAAGTTACGCTTAGTATTTACGACAATATTTAGAATCAAAATATGTTTAAAACCAAAGATGCTCTTCCCATTCCTATGTGCTTGTAGGTTGTATATAAATACACTTGTGATAGCTGTAAGTGCACTATCTATCACTTATTGGCACCAGCTAATGAAAGTGGGTTTTTTCGCGGTCCTCCCGTTTCCCACCACATAAAATTCTAGGCATCAGATTTATAGATCTTCTGCCACCCTGAACGACTATAAGTGAGATATCGGCAGTTGATTTTATTATCACACTGCTCTCGGTTTTTCTTTTTACTTGTAGCCCAACATCATTTTTTCACCATGATGAATATCAATAATGCTAAGCCACCCTGGATACTTCAAATCATGAGCTAGGTGAAGAGAAGCCTATTCCGAATACCCCCGGTTACGCCTGTTCCTAAACTCTTAGTTTAGGGACAGACGTTTTAAAACCAAAACTATCATGTTTTTGTTGTTGTTGTTGTAAAGCTATCTTTATTGGTGAAACTACACGTCACCTACAAATACGTGCACACGAGCACATGGGAATTCCAGCAAGAAGTGGATACAAGCTAACTAATCCACCCGAGTCTTGTACCAGATTTCACAGTGAGAATAACAACCACCCCACACATCTAAAATACTTTTAAAATTCTGGAACCACAGATTATGAACTCTATTGAAGAAAGCCTCTCCATTTTCAATTATCACACGCAACTAAATAATAACATCAACTCCTCCTTGTTTTCATTGTAACGAATTTGTTGTTATGTATTTATTTTAATATAAACGTTATTTACATTAAGTTTGTATTTAAAAACGTGTAGCTTATAGTGTTAGATATATATTGCGAAACACCCGCCTATTCTCCAAAGTTGTAGAAGATTCTTAAAAGTAAGAATAAAAAATATATTTATGTAAGTAAACGTTTAAATATAGCTCAGTATTGTTTTTTTTATCTGAATTTTCACACGCATTTTTCTGCAATCATAGGTGTGTCACATGACTTTTGGAAGGATAATGTATATTAGGTAGTCAAGAAGTTAATATCGTTTTTTTTAGATGGAAAAACCCGAACAACTTATATATCAAAACAAAACATTTATTAAATACAATAGTCTCCATGCTTATTGATGATGCTTCTTCACCTTACAATCAGGTTCTTAATGCCCTGATTAAAGAAATCACTTGGCCTTGAAGCAAAAAACATGTTGATGTCCTCTTTAACACCTTCCACATTTGCATGCATTTTCCCATTAAGATAGTTTTGCAGCGAACGAAAAATATGATAATCTGATGATGCCATATCTGGAGAATATGGTGGGTGTGGAGAACTTTCCAACCCAACTCCATAATCTTGTGTCGCATCAAACGTGCTACATGTGGACGTGTATTGTCGTTGAGAAGAATAACATCTTTCTGATTGACAAGTGAAGGGTGTTTCTGATGAAGGGCTTGATTTAAACATTCAAATTGCTGATTTTAGATCTCTGCACAGACAGTTCGCTGTGGATTGGGGTGTTAAAAATGAATTACTCCTTTGATGTTCCACCAAATGCAAAGCATCACTTTCTGTGGATGGAGTCCAGGTTTTTGGTTCGAAAGTGGTTCATGCACTTAACGCAGCAGAAGAGATGAAGCAACATTCACGTGTTTGAAACGATGATCATCGTAGAGTTCGTGAGACACCCAAACACCTTCTTTATGGAGTTACCCATATTCCTTATATGTTTAAGTATTGTTTCATGAGTGACATGCAATTTCACGAGTGTGTTGCCTTGGGTTAGACTCAACAAGCGTCTTCAGAACATCAATGTCAATTCCAACATGTCGGCACCTGCCCTCACAGTATTTAAGGCTGAAGTCACCTGAACGAAATTTGCTGAACCATTGTTGATAATTAGGAACGTTCAAAACATATCCATAAACTTCTTTGATATTCTTTGTGGCTACAGAATCGTTATTTCCCTTCTTGTATTCAAACAGCATTAAATGCCGAATGTCTGTCTCGTCGTGTGCCATCCCTATAAGGGATTGG